CCAACCTTAATGATTCCTAGTTTTTACTTTCATTAAAAGTAGTAACCCAGCCCCCAAGCCAGGAAACATGCAATTGCTACTCTCCCCTTAATTGGTTTAGTGGTGGACTTGGCAGTGTTAGGTTAATGGTTGGACTGGATGATCTTAAAGGTCTTTTCCAACCTCAACGATTCTATGATTTATCAAAAATAATAGGAAATTGAATACTCAGGTCAGGGAAGGAACAAACATGCCGGTACAGCTTCTGTTCAGTGCACTGTTTGGACCTTAAATTTCACTGCATAGTAAAAAAGCAAAATTGCCTTTGAATAATAGGGTTACTTGCACCATTTATTTACATGAACGTGTGTATGACAGTAATATACAGTAATGCTACATAATGTGACATATATCAAATGGAATTAATACAGTTGCTTTTGCAGCCGCTTTGTAGATGAAATTATGGATGTATGAATGCACGCCAGACAAATTTATTACACAGACACTTATAAAAGATACTTTATATCCCTATATTAATTTGGTACCAAACTTTTTTTACATCCATCTATCAAAATCTCTCTTGAAGGAGAAGCCACGCATGTTTTCCTATCTTAAAGCATGCAGTACTGCAATATTTAAGCTTTTACGGTGTTTCATCTGTCCCTGAAATGAAGCCAGAGAGGATTCTGCTGTGTTGCTTCGTTCGTCTGCAGTAGCCAGGAGCTGGCTACAGCTGGACAGGAGGCAGAAGATCCTGAGAGCTGGGGAGACTTCTTGAGGGCTCATTCATTCTCTCCTGTATCTTATGGATGTTGGTGCAGGAGAGGATCTGGACTTGGTATCTGAGCTGCAGATTACCCTTCTTGTTGTTATGCTGACAGTGTTCTACTTGTGGTGATCCAAGGGCAGGGATGAAATGTGGGTGAGTATCTAGGTGTGGTGTCTGTTGTTGGGCTAGCTAGTATAGGTAGGAGAAAAAATACGTGAGCTTTTGGACAACCAACACCCTGATGAATTAGAAGCGGCTGATTCTGAAGTTACATACACATTTATAATAATTGCTTTGACCTTAATTAGATATGTATCAATTAGATCATCCTGAAGAAATGGTATTTGGGGGTGTGGGTGTTAAGTAGTAGTAGTGGAGAAGGTGAGAAAGGAAGGAGACAGTTCACTACCTGTGAAACATGGGCAGGTTGGGAGAAAGGGAATTGCAATGCACTGTAAAATGTGGCTCAAAGGCCAAAAACAGTAGCATCTGGTTTAATTCCTAGGCCCCAGCTGACAATGTTTTGTCGGTCTGAGAGGCCCAGAGGTAAGAGCAGCAGTTTTGGACAGACATTTCCCCTCTGTGAGTGGGTAGTATCATCCTGACAACTTCTACAATAACTATTCTGGCAGCAGAGCATCAAAGTCCTTGGCTTCTGCAGTTGTATTCTGGCAACTCCTTGATTAGGGCACCAGGTGCTGTGTAGAGACGATACAGGTGAAACTAAATTGCTGTATACCAGACTGAACCCTCAGACTGCCAGTGGGAGCAAACACATAATTACCGGCTGAGGAAGAGATGAATTGCTGTCTTGCTTCTGTGGGTGTCAGAAATCTAAGCTCTTTCCCAGACCTTTGGGTGCTTAAAGCCTCTAGCTTTTCTGCTGACCTGTGGAGAGTGTTAAGTATGCTAATCTGCCAAAATAAACAGTTGAAAAAAAATCTGTGTGTGCCATAAAAGAAGACGTTAATGCTAAATAGCTCAAGAACAAATTCTGTTGCTTAATCTGATCAAAAAATACTCTCAGAGCTCTTGCTGATTTCTAGGTGTCTGAAGAACTGAACAGTATAATGCAACAAAAAAAGGTGTTTCTGTTCATAATTGGTCTTCTCTGGAGCAAGCATAAAAAGTTTAGAAAATGTTGAAAACCTAAATCAGCTGATTTGAGTTGTTTTACCTTAAAAGATTCAAAGGAATAGTGCTATCTTTCACTAATGTGGGGGTTTTTGTTTTGTGGGTGTGTTTTTTTTTTTTTTCTCCTTCCCTCCCAGTCCCTACTTACAGAATGCAGCGTGTGACTCCCCTGGGGATTCTGTCTCTTGTTCTGAACATCATGTGTGGAGCTTTGAATCTCATTCGAGGAGTTCACCTAGCAGAGTATTCATTTCAGGTAACACTGATTGAATTGAAACCTGTAAATGGGTCAAAGGGAGGGAGTTATTTGGGTAACCAGATTACGAGTGGCTGTTCTGCTTCTTAGTAGAGCATATATCTTTCCAGAAGTGGTTTGTTTGTCCAGGGAATGTACAATTGATTGCTCACCTGCCAGACCTCATGTGTTCTGTTGTATATCGCAGCACATTGCATTTTATTCTTTTCTAGGGAGATTAAAATTTGGAGAAATATTTTATCCAGCCAGCCTGGCAAGACTTTTTTTCTTTTTTTTTTTTCTCCACAGTCTTGTATTTTGTTCTAGATGCTTTTGTGTGAATTTTTTTAAACAAATGTGAAACTGTAAACAACTTTTAAAAAGGAAAAAAATGAAAGTGTATGGTGGCACAGTTTTATTTAGCAGGAATTGTCACCTAAGCCTCAGTTCTTGGTATCTTGTTCAATTATATTGATCTTGCTGTTTAACACTGTTACGGTCAATCAACATAAACTAGGATGAGAGGTACTTGATGAAATATAGTGTTCTAAAATATCAGGCATTACTTGCTAAAAACTGTAGCTGACGTAGTTGTTTGTCACTTATTTTAATCCAAACAGGAGGACCATGAAGGAATTGGAAATGTGATAGCTTTTTTTCTACCTTTTCTAGCCTGTGTTTTTCAGGTAGGTTAACTGTAAATAAAATGCTTTCTGATTATTTTTATATTATCATATACAAGACAAAATAATTTTCAGCTAAGCAGAGGAACAGTTTGCTTTTTAGTATCCTACCTGGGTGATTCCACTGAGGTATTCAGTGAAGTGGCACAAATACAGTTTGTGGCACAGTTTGACCCTTGGCAAATTGCAGTTGCAAACTTTTCCAGGGCTTTCGTGTTTTGACATGCCGGATGGGGCTGAGTGTGATAAATAAGTGCTAGCTCAAAGACGGTTTGTTTCCCAAAGGGATAGACATGGTGTCTTTCTGACAGTGGCAGACTTAGTGATGGGCTTTTGTAGCATAGCCACCTTGAACGATGGAGCAAATATAGAATAGCAACATTATTTAAAATGTTCTAGTTTACATTAAAAATTACTTTTAATTCTTGAGACAAATGTGGTTCCTGACTTCCTTAGTTTGTTTTTTTTTTCCCTTAATGGATTATTTTCTCTAATGTCCTTATGCGGAAGAGTTTGAATGAGGAAAATATTATATGCTCCCAATGGGTGGTTCTTGCAAGGTTCCTTAAATGCCTAAAACACTGGTCCTTTAACTTGAGGGCAATCTGTTGTTTGCAAAATCTTCACTTTTTAGCCTGCCATTGCAGGAAGCTGGGTTACTAGTTGACAGAAGGAATAACATAATGCCTACAGTGTATTCGTTGCTTAGTACTGTTGCATTTGGCTAATGGCTTGGGGACCACTATGTGGAGGCTTCTAATTATCTGTGGTATTTAAAACTTGCAGAGAGACTATTTATTGTATCACACTAGGTACAATTTAGTGTCTTTCAGCCTTCTTAGACCTCTGCTCAGAGCAGAGCTTTAAGATGGAGATACTAACTTGGATCTAAATACTTGATGCCAGTCATTCTTCACAAAGAAAGGCTCTGTCCTGCTTTTTTTCCATTTAGTACCTGAAGCTAGAGAAGCTAAATAAAGAAGAGTTCTGCCTTACCCTTTTGATCTTATAGCAGTCATCTTCACAAAATGCTTGTGCATAAATTGAGCTCAAATGTGAAGTGCTTTCTACATGCTGATCTCTACTTGTGTCATCAGCACAGTTGGAAACTGTGACCTTAAGTGAGAAAGCATGATATGTTATTGCCTGAGTTAAAAAAGTAACTCTTCTGCCAGCACTTTGTGAGTTTTTAGTTTTTTCCTGTAAGGGTTGTGACTCTTCACACATGCTTAGCAAATGGGTTCCACCTGTTCTTGAATTTAAAAAGAAAAAGAGCCCAAAACCCCAGCTAAACCTGTTAACAGAAATGAAGGTCTTTCTACTAAGTCAAGTCTGGAGAATGAAGTCCTTTACTTATCCCAAGGACAAATACTGCAGAAGCAGATTTGGGGTTGCTGTTTTCCTGCTTCTGAGCCTTTGTCCTGCAAAAATCATAGGTGGTTTTGGAAAGCTGGCTCAGCTTTCAGACTCCTTTTAACCCAGGCTGAGGCAGGCAGGAGGGATGCCAGTTGTGCTGACAGACTTCTTCTGATATCTGTGCTTACCCGGTAGGATCTGGGTTGAGGCCACCACTCTGGCTATTCCTGGAGGGCCTTTCAGCACAGGAGCTGAAGGGAAGCTTTGAGCTTCTTAGTGATCGCTGCCATGGCAGGCACATCCAAGTGGTATGGATACACCAGCTATGTCTCTTGTCTATATGTACATATTTAATGCTAACACTGTCTCTCTGGTCCTTTTGTAGTGTTACTTGTACCTCTTCTACAGCTCGGCAAGGAAGGTGAAGACGTTTGTACTCTTTTTCTCCGTTTGTTTATGCAACATTTACTTGTACGGATTACGGAACCTCTGGCAAATAGCCTTTCACATAGGAGTGGCATCTCTTTCTTCTTATCAGATACTGACAAGGCAACTTATGGAGAAACAGCCTGACTGCGGAGTATGAAAAAGGCTTTGGATTTGCTACTCTATTTTTACAACTCTTTTTGTATTAAACTGGCCAAAAATAGCTTGGAGTATTTTTAAAGATTTGTGACAATGGTTATTCCAAGGAGGATATTTCAAAGCAGCTTGAAATAAAGTAGGGTACTGTAATCACGTCAAACATACAGTGAGGAACGTAGCTGTATTTAACGTGGCATGTGGTAACTGTGCATGGTAGATTTTGTCAGGTGTCATCAACAGATGGAGGGTCTCCTTACCATAAACAGGCTTTTACTCCTTGGCTAACACCATCTAGACAGCATTTTGCCATTTGTCTTACTGGCTCTGTAACAGTTTGGCAGGTCAATGTCTTGCCCTGCCAATGCTTCCGAAAACATTAAGATTGTATAGTAAAATGAAGATAAAGTGGTGGATAACATTTTTGTCTCTAGAATTTGTTGAGCGTTAAGATTCTTGGTAAATGTAAGTAAAGGAGTTGTTTGCCATAATTAGATGAGTTCAATAACAGTGGGAAAAATTGTTAGGATGAGCTTCAGGGTAATTCTAGGTTTTGAAGGAAAGGAAAAGGCTGTGGCTATTTTAAAAACCATAAAAGGCTATAAATATCTCCTGGCTAAGCAGCGCATCGTAGTTAAGTATGTGCTCATTGGTTAACTGCAAATATGCTTGGGGCAGCGTAAAATAAACCAAGTGAATATAAGTGATCTTGCAGCTCAAGTGGCCTTTATTTCTTTGGTTAAGGTCACTCTTAGTATAAGGGTAATTCCATGTTTGCTTGGTCTGTACGGATAGTAAATCTTCCAAGCCTACTTATGACAGGCACTGACTCCTTCACCTTTTTTAAAAAAAAATGTATAGCTGGTGAGTAGAAAGCCATTTGCAGTAATGGGAAGCAAGAGCAGGTTCTCTTTATTATATAAAACACCTTTAGTTAATGGTGTTGAGTTCTTACACTAAGATGAATTTATGAGTGTGCACTTTTGAATATAGTACTTAAGAGCTGCAATTCTTAACCTCTGCTGCACTGGGTATTCTTGTATGTAATGTATTGAGGTGCGTATGGGCATTTTAGAACATATACGAGTAATTTAGGCTGCCTGTTTAAAAAAATGCATAGCATTTTGATGCAGCTGTCCTTGAAGGGTTGTAGAGACTCAAACTGAGAAGATGTAGAGAACTGTAGGTGTGTTATTGTGCAAGTGTGGTCCTAGATTTTCTCTTATTTTTTTTCTCAGGAAACTGTTTTCTGGTCCCCCCATTTCTTCCACCAGACATCTCTCACCAAAGATTTATTTTCCTCTCACGTAGTCTCTACCTCTAGTGGTTGCAAAGAGATTAACATGATGCAGAGTTGTCTTCCTGAGTTTGCAGAAACGCTTAACAAAATTACATTCTTGCATCTCAGTGAATTTTCCTGAAATCTCATGCTGCAAACATGAGTATCAGTGGACTATTAGACCAGAAACCTGTGGTGCTGTACCTTGGGAGCACTTCTGTGATGCAGCTGACTGCAACAACAGCATCAATAGGCAGCCCATTACAACCTGCACAGTTTCTAGGACATCAAAAGACTTGGTGCCAGAGCTTTTTCCAGTAGTAAAATGTAGGTATTTCTCTTCCATCCCATGTTAGCCCATTTACTGTAACAATAACGTAATGAGATCCTTTCAGCTGTGAGGAATAGTCTAGTAGGAATGACGGAGGAATATTTTAGCCAGCCAGCTAAGAACTAGATCTGTGTGCCATAAGGGAATACTCTTCTGTTATAAGGGATTGGATTAAAATGGCTTGTCTGTCATTACCCCAGTGTTCTGCCAGAGTGTAAGTGGAGAAATGAAGCCAGAATTCAACTGTTGTCCTTAAGATGCCCAGATGACCCCACAGATGTGAGGGTTTTAGTACTGACAAGTTTCAAGTTTTCTTGCTGTTCAGTCCCAGTTTTACTTGGTAAGGTACTCTTAGAGTACTCTTAGAGACTGCAGGGAACTAAGCCACGGGTTTGGATTGAAATTTAAAAAAAAAAAAAAAAAAATCTGAAAAAAGGACACCCCCAAAAATCTGATACTAGAAACTTTAACACTTTCTTAAGGATACTGGATCTGATGACTGATTGTGTTTTCCAGGAGCATAAGCTGGGTATCAGCCCACTGGGTTTCCATGGGGAATTATCCTGTGGGGAAAGGATGAAGCATTTTATACTACAGATAGACAAAACTTTGTGCAAAGGACCTTAGTGAAATGGCCCAACTCCCTGCTCCTACCCTTTTAACCTCAATCTGGCTAAAGAGTCCAAAAGAGCTTTACTCTTTCTCCATAGGCTTGGATAAACCTCGCCTGCTATGGCTTGAGGCATGCAGAGCATTTACAATGGGGGCATGGGGCCAGTGAACCATTATCTGCTTTTTATTCCTCATCCTTGTACTGAGCTGATTGGAAGAAACTGTAATGTTCCTGATGCTTCCCCAGCGCCTGACTGTTTGCTTTATCGTAAGACAAATACATCCCTGTGCCAGGTGATGTTAGCAACAGCTCTGCAATAAGAGTGGTAGACCAGGGCGTATAGATAGCATGTGTAATTAACATAATTAGAGTGGAAAAAGATTAAATTCAGCTTTTGTTTAATATTTTCTTTTTCCTGAAAATGTTCCAGTAAAATCAAACAAAACCAGTTGGTTCAGTTCTGCCTTCGTGTAAATTTTTTTTGTTTTTTGCTTTGTGGCCTAGGTGGAGAGTATGACTAGATCTTTTCCACTAAATGAACAAAGCTCTGGTTTGCTGTTAGTCTTAATCCCTTTGCAACCTTTTTTTTTTTTCCCCCCCTGTAATATGTGTAAACCGTATTAAGGAATCTACGTGGATTAATACGTGTGCATTAGTATCTGCGCACTTTGTACGTTTGGATTGTGATTCAGGGGAGAGGCAGAGCATGTGTAGTTTGACCTATTTTTTTTCTTTTTTTAATGTTAGCATTTTGAATGGCTTCTATATCTGTATGGTATTTATACAGTTAAACTTTTTCTTCTGGTGAAACAGCAAGAGGAATAGAAGAGTTTACATTGATCTCAGTGCTTTAAGATTTAATAAAAAAGAATGACTTTCAGTTTGCGTACGTGAAATCTGACTCATAATGTGGGATTATGCCTGTGTTGAATCAAATCCCCAAACAGGAATCCATCCCTTTTTGTTCGACTTTAAACTGTTTAATGTAGTTTGAATTGCATCTCCTTGATTCTGTCAGTTTTCGAGATGAGTCTTTTGGAAACTCTTTTTCTCACCCGGCAGCTCAGCACAACAAAATTGGCAAAGATTAAACTTCATTAATTTAAAGATTTGCAGTGCTTCATCACTTTATGAAGCTGATCATTTTCTGTGGGGTTTTGTTGTTTTTTCTAATTCCTCCCAAAGACCTGTTGGGTTTGTAGAAGGTGGGCTGGTACCTTTTTAGACATTTTTGCACTGTATTAATAATTGAACCTGTGTAAATGTGTATAAAAATCATTTTGCATGTATATGTATATATGTACATATATCTAATAAATGGCTTTTTTGTAATGGTTGTCTTCATTTCTAGTTTTGAAATAGCTGAGTATATTAGAAGCGAGGTAGATTATCCATTTCATTTTCGCTTGCATTTTTAGTGTTTCATGTGGCAGTGTCCAAAATACTTAAAAAATAAGCTCAATTCTTCTCTTTAACAAACAGCTTCAAAATCAGAGTGATTTCAAACGCTGTCATAGTGCGTGCTGGATTGTATGCGGTCTCTTACAGAAAGAAATATCTGTATGAACTCAGGGTGGCTTTCTCTGAGACAGTCTGCTCTCTGACACCTAATCTACCTGGGTGCACGCTGGCTTTTTTTGTTCAGGGGGATTTAGGTAGGATTTTTACTCAGTCATCTACACACTGAAGAGTGACTGATTCTTCAGTTGAACTATGTAAGTATATTTATAAATATGTATCTAGAAACTTGTTTATCCAAGCAACAGATTGCGGTAGACTGTGGTATAGTCCTTGTAGCTTTAACAGTCTTGCTCTTTACTTTCAGAGACCATGTTATATGGCTTTTCCTGCAAAACTTGCATTTTGGAGTATTGAAGTATGTGAAGGAAGATGTAACACAGCCCTGTAGGTCCTTTTCCAGCTGCCCGGCAGTGAGTAATGGAGATTTTGCAGATTGCTGTTAGATATTCAGCCTGCTCTCTTAATGGAACTAGGCCTATTAGTTAGTCCTACCACTCAGTCCCTACTAAGAGCTTGTGGACTTGTTTGGCCAATTTCAGCCACCTTTCATAAAGGCTCTGAAAACACCACTTCATCAGGCGGTGTAGAAGTGAATGACTTTATGCAACAGAAAATTCAGCATTCCCTCTGTCTGAATGGGTCGGGTTCAGGTATTGGCAAAAGCGCTTTGGGAGAGTGATGCTTTGAATGGCAGGACTCATAGAGGACCCTGCCTCATTGGGAACCAAAGAATCGGGTAAAAATCAAAAAGCTGGAAGAAATCAGGCTTGTGGAACTACTGGTTTCTTCCCATTTTTCTGCTTCCTGGTCCTCCACAGGCACGATACCTAGCTATCTGTAGCAAAAGCAAAACATGGGTAAAGGGCTGGGTTGTTCTACTGGTTTCCAATGTGCAAAAAGTGAAATCTTTTCTAATCTCTGAGGCTTATTCTTTATCAAGAAGGCACTTGTGGGTAAAGTGGATCTGGGAGAACTGCAAATTCTTTAGCGTTATTCTTTTGCTTTAAAGTCATATCCCAGCCTTCGCCTTGACTTGGCCTTTCAGCCTTAAAGCTTGCTCGGATGCTGGCTTTGCGGCAGGGTAAATGTCAGCGGTCGGTTTGAGGTAGTTACGGTGCTGCAGCACTCGTTGCCTTGCTCAAAAGAGAAAGAGAGAAGCCCGCGTGTGCCCCTGTAACGAGGAAGGAGGCAGAACAGTGGTTGTGCAGACAGTGTGTGGCAGTAAGCAAAAGCTGATGGTGCGGGAGGGAGGAGAGAGCCTTATTCTTCTGAACTGGTCTGCCCTTTGAAATCTAGATGTTATTTTTGTTCTGTAAATAAATGATTGCTCAAAGCACGTTTCTTCTCAGGATGCTGATAGAGAAGAACAGCAGCCTTTCCTTTTTTTCTGAGGCAAGGGGAGAAAGCAATTATAACTCCCTTCTTCTTTTGAAGATGCTGATAAAAGGAGGTGGGAGGATCAGAGGGTCCCTGTGCCAAAAGAGGAACAACTCCTAAGGTGATAGAAATACACGTTTTTATTTTAAACAAAGTAACTCAACTTCTGCTGTGTGCTGACTTTCAAATGTGACCTAATTGCATGTAAAAACTGTTTGCGGGTGGGAAGGAAACAGTGGCCGCCAGAAAAAGAGCAGCTCTG